CAAATGAGGTGCGGATTAGCATATTGTCACACTTCATTTGCATAATTAATTAGGGGGCCCTTTTTGCACAAAAGGCTTTTTGCGCAAAACAGAGCTATGTAGACGACCTCTTTTTGTGCAAAACACCCCTCTTGCACAAGAGCCGTTCTTCCTCATTTTTTCAGGAAGAACAGCTCTTGTGCAAGAGGGGGTTTTTGCTCAAAAAGGACCTGTCTACACAACTCCTTTTTGCGCAAAAGTCTCTTGTGCAAAAATGGCCCCTAATTAATTATGCAAATGAAGCACAGCAATATGCTAACCCGCACTTCATTTGCATAGGCTTTTGCACAAGAGAGGTACAGTGTAAATGTAGCCTAAGAGCTAGGGCCACCAAATTTGGTATTCAGTTTCCTCTACTCATAAGTTAACGCAAAGTCAGGATTTAGTTATGCCAAGACAAGCTGAAGCTGGCCAGAGGAGCGAGGCGGGAGGCGGAGGGGGACATCCCTGGCAACTAGGCCAGGGAAAGAAAATGCCCCAGCAGCTGGGTGGAAGAGCGAAAACACTTCTGGCGGACAGTGGGGGAGAGAAAAGGTCTGTGCCGGATGAGACCCCCTGCCCTGAGCCCCTCCTCATCCTCCAACCCTCATTCTCTCATCCCCTCACTCCCAGCCTCCTTCACTGCCCCCCCTCACATACCCAAGGCCCTGCTCTGACTCCTGAACTCCCCACACACTGCCAGCCTCCTGTCCTGATGGACCCAGGCAGTGCCGGGTAAGTCTGTTGATACTTACTATACTTCTAAAACCAGAAATTTTGTGTGGGGTTGTAGCAATAATTCATTGAATCACAGGACTGGAAGGGACCCTGAGAGGTCTTTTAGTTCAGTCCGCTGTGATGTGGGGCTAAAGGGGGCAACTGCCAAGCAATTCAAAAGGGCCCAGGGCTTCTTGCCAGAGCTGCCACTGCAGGCTCTTTACAACGCCATTGGCTGGGGAGGGGAGGTATTCTCTGGGCAGCACTAAGGGCTGAGGGGTGGGGCAGGGGCATAGCAATTCTGTTGTCCCCCCTGCCTGCGCTCAAAGCAGGATTATGACCATTCCTGACAGATGTATGTTTAACCCACTGGTAAAGATCTCCAGTGACAGAGATTACACAATCTCCCTAGGCAATTTATTCCACTCCATCCTGCCACCCTCTTCCAGCCCGCTGCATTCAGCTTCTCCACAGCAGCAGTAAGCAGAGCACCCCAACCCTGGGGAAGGATGGCAACTACCTTGACAAAGTTGTTTCTAAAATCCAACCAACCCCTCCTTTGCTGCAATTGCTTCTTGTCCTAGTGTCAGAAGTCAAGAACAATTTTTCTTCCTCCTCCTTATAACAACCTTTTATGCACTTTAAAACTGTTATCATGTGGTCCTCTCCAGCCCCTGAGTCTTTTCTTCTCCAGCCTAAACACAGGCTTTCAGTCTTTCCTCCCAGGTCATGTTTTCTAGATCTTTAATTGTTCTTGTTTCTTTTCTCTGGACTTTTTCCAATGTATCTACATCTTTCCTGAAATGTGATACTCAGAACTGGACACAGTATTCCAGGCTGAGACTGTATCTGTACAGAGAAGAATGGAAGAATTATTTCACGTCTTGTTTACAATACTCCCACTAATACATCCCAGAATATGTTTGCTTTTTTTGCAGCAAAGTGTTACTTGACTCACATTTATCTTGTGACCAACTATGACAGAATGTTTCAAACTTTAGTAACAGAAAGCCCCACATTTTGATTTAATTTTTTAAGATCCCCAGCTCCATCTCTGTGCACACTCTTTTTTGAGGTCTGACCCTCAGTCCCTCCATCCCACCTCCCTTTCTCCCAGAGCCATCCATAGGGGGGCTAAACAGCAGGACAGCTCCAATTTTATCAAAGTGCAGGGCCCGTGACAGTCACCCTGTTTCACCATATACAAGGGATGGCTCTGGGTATGTGAGGGCTCCAGCTGGAGATGTGGGACCTCAAGTAAGGTCAGGGATGGAGGGCCTGGAGTGCATGAGGGGACTCCAGGCTGGGCCAGGGGGGTGGTGCGGTGGTGGGGGTTGTAGGCTCCAGGAGGGAATTTGGGTGCAGGAGGGATTTCAGGCTGGGGCAGGCGGTTGGAGTGTGGGTTGGAGTGATGGGATATGGTGTACCAGTGACACTTACCACAGCTCCCAGGAAGTGGTCGCCAAGTTCCTGTGGCCCTTACACATATGGGCAGTCAGGGAGGCTGTGTGCTGCCCTTGAGCCCATGGGCACTGCTCCTGCAACTTCCATTGGCCATGGTTCCCAGCCAATGGGAGCTATGGAACCAGCATTTGAGTGGGGATATCATGCAGAGCCTCTCTGGCCACCAGAGCTCCTAAGTGCTGCAGGAATCTGGTGGATACTTCCGCGAGTCACACAGAACCAGGTCAGGTAGGGAGCTTGCCTTAGGCCCAGGACAGGGAACAGTTGAGAGAAGGAGGAAGGGAGGTGGTGGAGTTGATCAGTAGGGCATGCAGATGCCCTGGAGCTCCCTTGGGACCATGGACCCCAATTTGAGAAATTGCCCCAAGCCTTACCCCATTTTTTCCCATCCCTTCCCACCTCCATTGCCTGAATCCTCCTCCACCAACCAACACAAGCTGGGGAATTGCCAACAAGCCTGGCATGGGACAGCAGTTAGAGTTAAGCCCTCTTTCATACCCCATGGCGATGGGAGCCAGAGTGACATAGCAGCCTGCTCTGCTCCGCTCCCATGCCTTTCTTCCAGCCTTCTGTGCTCTTCTTCACCACCACTGCAAAGAGTACAGAGGAGCCCAACTGCTGCTGTTGCCCCATGCCAGACTCCCTATGTAATCCCCCAGGCTGCCCTGGACCCCACAGTTTCCATGCATAAGATGGTAGAGGCAAATGGAACCATCCTATGGATGGGACAATTCTGCATGCAACAGTTTCAAAACCTTACGTAAGTCACATCTAGTATTTCCCCTGTATCCACAAGACTTGTTACCTTAAAACAATAGTCACCCACCAGTAGATCCTGATCTTGGAGCCTCTAACAAGTGATCCTGACTGGTTTGGCCAAGAGGCTATCAAGTGCCGGCACTTCAGCTGCCCCTACTCCCCATGGCTGTGCATCTCTTGCCTTTTGCTTTGAAGCTGCCTCCCTCCACCCCCAGGAGCCTCCTGCTTGCTGTGCAGGGCTGGGGAGGGAGAAAAGGGGTGCTGATGTCAGGGTGCCCCCTCTCTCACCCTGTATCCTATCTCCACAGAGCAGAGTGGGAGGGGGGGCACAACAGGACTTGGGATGGAGTTTGCTGGCTGCTTTTGGGAGTGGTGTAGGGTCAGGGCAATGATGAGCCTGCCTTAGCCCCACTGCACCACTATCCAGTGGTGGGCCTAGCTGGTGCCCACATCCCAAAACCCTACCCCAGGCATGAACCCCCTCCTACACCCCAAGCCCTTACCCTAGCCTTGAGCACTCCTGCATCCAAACACCCTCCCAGAGCCTGCACATAGAATCCTCTTTGGCACCCCAACTGCCTGTCCCAAGCCCAGCTCAGAGCCCTTCTCGCACTCCAAATCCTTTAATTCAAGACCAGAGCCTGCACCCCAACCCTCTGCCCCAAACTGGTGAAAGGGAGGGAGGGTGGAAGAGGGAGGATGGAATGAGAAGGGGCGGGGGCCTCACAGGAGCACAAAGGAGGTAGGGCAAGGGTATTTGGGTTTGAGGTAGATCTTGGATTGCACTTAAATTCAAAAAGTGATCTTGTGCTTAAAGAGGTTGGAGACCACGGCCTTAAAACTTCTAAAACTTATTATTAAAACTTCATATTTAAAATTTGCATGAGTCTTTTAAATTTTTAGGTAAAAACACAGTATTGATACACTAGTACTGTTAAAAAAAATACAGTCCTAAGTCATCACCTGCCAGGTCTGCTGACTAGGTGCGGTGAGGGGCAAAGGGGGAAGTTGCCCCTGACCAGTGATTCAAAGGGATCTAGGGCTCCTGGTTGCCATTATTGCCAACTAGAGACCCAGGCTGGGTGGGTGCCCAGGTGACATGGAAGGCTGGCTTCCTCTAACCCCATCCCTTTTGCCAAAGGCCACGCCCCTTTCAGGGTCAGAGAACCACCCTCCCCACTTAACCCAGGGGTCCAAGCAGGCTATTAGCTCCCCTGCCCTCCTTCAACTAGAAAATGTATGAATGGGCCAAATAATTCAGAAAATTCAAATAGATATAATTTTTATGAAAGTCTCCCCAATTCTTATCATAGGCAAGCATGATGCTTTACAGAAATCTTTAACAAGTAGGGTGATCAGTATAAAAATAGTAGACACCTATGCAACAAAGCCCTAAATATCAGGACTGCTCCTGTAAATTTGGGGTATCTGGTCACCCTAATAAGTTACGTTTGCGGGCCTGCTCCTGCAATGCAATTACAAATGTAAGTGTTACAGAGACAAGGTAGGAGAGGTAATAGCTTTTATTGCATCAATTTCCCGGGGGGGGAGGAGGGAATAAGCACTCTTGCAGCAGCGGCTCCCAAGCCCTACAGCGTGGAGTGGTGCAGGCGAGCAGTGCAGGATCACACCCTGTTGCAGACACAGCTGCCTACACACCAGGCTAGCATGGAGAGGCAAAGAGGAACACATGTCGCAAGCAACACGGACAAGGAACAGAAATCCGCACTGCGCATGCCCTAAAGTCACGGCTTGCAGCAGACCATAAGTCTCTAGTGCGTCTGCGCATGGGGAGACCTCTAGGGTTCTGTTTTGGGACTGACTTCGCCTGGTTTGTCAAGTACGGGTGAGGCGAGAGGGTTACTACGCCTGCGCAAGAACCCGTAAGTGGCCCGGCCGAAAAATCAAGGTGAACTACGCCTGCGCGACTATGAAGCCGGCTACCTAGAGGAGAGACCGTAATCTGAAGAAGGGCCTCACTGCGCTTGCGTGCTGGAACAGCCGGGGGGGGGGGAGAGGTTAGGATGAAGGCTGCACTGCGCTTGCGCGGATTTGTGGGCGGGCGGGGTTGACTCGGCCGTGCTCCTGGGCTGGAATCCTGAGCCTGTGCGGTTGCCAGGGTGACGGGACTACAACATGGCCCGCTGACAGCTCTGCCGGGAGGGGTGGGCGCTGCAGAGAAGGCCTCAGCCTTTCCCTCCCCGCTCCCACACCGCTGAGAGCCGCAGAATGAGCAGTAAGGGAGGGGAGGGACGGGGCCCGGTGGCGATGTGGGGAGGGTCGCGGCAAGGCGGGTTCTTCTGTCGGGAGGGGGCCGCTTCCGGGGTGCGGCAGGCAGGGAGTGTGAGCGGGCTAGCTGTAGGTGGGCCGTGACTCTTCTGCTGGGCGCTGATTCCCCTAGATACACAGTGTGAGGACGAGGGGGGCCTGAGTCTTGCTGTGGGGAGATGCATGAGGGTCTTGGGCCCCACTTCGGTTATGGTTATTATGGGACACCCCATGTGGAGGAACAGGGCGCAGCGTCGGATCCATTTGGAAAAGAAATGGGCCCTGCAGTTGGGGTGAGGATGCATATTAGACTGAGAGTTGGTGGGAGGGGGCCAGATTTTCCTATGCAAAGATATACGAGGGAGATACTAGCAGTAAGAAGGAGCTGCCCTCCAATTACCAATATTAGGAAAGTAGCACCAAGAGACACCCCCCTCAGCTTGTTGGTTGATTGTATTGGAGGTCATATTTTTTCTTGACTTTTTATCCTCATTGACTTTTGGTTTTCCTCCTATTTCTTCAGTCATTTGTTCACAGGTTTGGTTCTTGGCGCTTTAATCCTCTCACTTTATAGGCTGGATAATATTATTGCTTAAATAGTTTCAAATATCAACTCTGTGCTGGTGACTTTTTCTATACCACTGACCTGTGCCTTTCTAAACAATCCCATCTAATATTTTAGGACATGTCAGAGAGAGATTATCTTGCCAGTTTAAACAAGGCCGAAAACAAATTCTTAAACTTTCCTCACACATTCCCCTTTCTCCCTTTTTTATTACAGTTAGCATCACTGCTATTCTCTTCATCATTTACACCAAATGTGGGCTTTATTTATTTTATTTATGTTTTGCCTTTCTGTGGCCCACACTTTCAGGCCATCTCCAAATCCCACAGCTTCTTCCTCTTCAGCATCTCCATACTCCATCTGTTTCTTTCCATCTCCACACATTTCTGGTTTAACTCCTCACTGTATCCCACCTTAAGTACTGCAGTACTCTCTTATGTCATTTCCCACTTCAAACTTCAGTAATCTTTTTACCTGTCAATTTGATCACTTTGCTATATGCCCCTCTCTGAATTCCTCCATTTGTTCTCCATCCATACGTCTGTTTAAACTGTTAATCACTTACTTCACAACTCTTTAAATCTGGCCTTCTCTACTTATTCTCACTTATGGAATTTTATATTACTTCTCCTACCCCACCAGCATTCCCACTCTCAACTGCCGATTTGTCAATTTCAAACAATCACTTTTGTGTTTTTCATGTGATTACCTCTGCCTTGTCCTTTCTTGTATGCTAAATAGATTCATGAAGGTTAGGTGCATCAATGGCTGTTAGCTAGGATGGGTAGGACTGGTGTCCCTACCCTCTATTTGTGACAGGTGAGGGAGCATGTGAGGATTACCTGTTATGTTCCTTCCCTCTGGGACATCTGGTATTGGCCTACTGTTGGCAGACAGGATACTGGACTGGGTCCTTATGTTCTTATGTCTAAAAAGTGCCCTGTTTGTTATGGATGCTACTGAAATCAATTCTGATTTAGGGATTATGCTCTTTTTGTTCTAAATATTGTAAATCCCACTGTGATTAAAAACTGACAAACTTTTTTATGTCTAATTTATTAAGAAAATTAAATCAAATGTTATCTACACATTTCTAGTTCTTTACTTACCTTCCATTTTAAAGTCTTAAGCTGCTAATGTGGCTGTTTCATATTTGTTTCCTGATTACTAGTAGAATTTCAAGCTTTATTGAGATTTTTTTATACTACAAAGTTTCACACTTAAAATGTTCATCTGTACTAGAAAAGTCATGTTTATGTTCTCTAACATCCTTCCTGTAACACTGCCATAAAATCAGATAACCAATGCTGTTTGTAACCAACACAATCTTCCAATGTTATGAACTTCCATAAGTAAAGAAAGCTGAAATGCTTTGACCAGGCTATTCTCCATCAAGGCTTTCAGTTTGAAGTCAATGGTATTAGTGCTTCTAAATTGCTTAGCATTGAAGTCAAAGGGACTTAGGTGTTAAGCATTGCAACACCTAACTTTCTCAGCATCTTGCCATTCTGTGGAATCCACAGCCCTGATATAGGTTATTTCTGGGCGCCACATTTCAAGAAAGATGTGGAGAAATTGGAAAGGGTACAGAGAAGAGCGACAAGAATGATTAAAGGTCTAGAGAACATGACCTATGAAGCCAGGCTTCATGAACTGGGCTTGTTTAGTTTGGAAAAAAGAAGATTAAGGGGGAACATGATAGCGGCTTTCAAATATCTAAAAGGGTGTCACAAGGAGGAAGGAGAACATTTGTTCCTCTTGGTTTCTGAGGACAGGACAAGGAGTAATGGGCTTAAAGTGCAGCAAGGGAGGTTTAGATTGGACATTAGGAAAAAATTCCTAATTGTCAGGGTGGTCAAATATTGGAATAAATTGCCAAGGGAGGTGGTGGAGTCTCCCTCTCTGGAGATATTTAAGAACAGGTTGGATAGACATCTGTCAGGGATGGTGTAGACAGAGCTTGGTCCTGCCTTGAGGGTGGGGGGCTGGACTCGATGACCTCTCGAGGTCCCTTCCAGTCCTATGATTCTATGATTCTATTTGACACTTTATACAATGAAAGGGAAGAGTTAAGTTCCTAAGAATGGAATCTATCTTCAAAAACCAACATGCTGAGCAGAGAGACACCTGTCGTAGCCATTAGGAAATGCTGAGGAAAGGGGAGTGGGAATAAACTCTGCCCCCAAAAGGATAATAGGCATCTAAATCAGAGCTGGAGGGAGCTCTCTCTCTTGTTGAAACTTTTCCATTGTGTATAATTACTTAAATATTCATTAGGCCTAATTTAGAGAGAAAGTATGACTCTGTAGCCCAGTGGTTAGGGCTCTCATCCGGGATAAGGGGACTCAAGTTCCACTCTTCTTACTCCAAAGAATAAGTATTTATACACAGTAGAACAACTTTGATAGGAGAGATTGAGAGAGACCTGCCCCCAGAACCTCAGGGCCCAGTGGTTAGGGCACACTCCTGGACGGGGGTGACACCAATTCAAATTTCTTCTCTATATTAGGCAGAGTAAGGAACTCAGCATCAGTCTTTCACAACTGCACAGTGCCCTTCCCAGTGGGCTACCAACACTTGCTAAGATAGAACATAGTAAGAATAGGGACTTGAAGTAACCACACACCTGGCAGGCTTCTAGGCACCTGTAGGAGTTTAACATCAGCGATTTAGACACCTTAGGATTTTAGGTGCTTATAGAGTTTGATAGTAGCTGAGTGGAGGTTTTGAGGATTTCAGTGGCTCCTAAATGTTAGGCTTTGGTACCTAAAGTGTTAGGTGCCTAAATCCTTTTGTGGCTATAGCTCTTAGCAACTTTTGAAAATGCCACTCTTTGATGTCCATGTATGGGGGTTGTTTTTTTTTTTTTTTAAATTTTGGTCTAATTTTTTTGGTGTAAAAACTTCACAATATATTTGTTAATGCACTGAAAAGGGTAAATTTTCTTTAATACTGAGGCATTTTTGTTTTAAAATGACAATTTTTATGCCAGTAAATCAGAATACAATTTTAGTGCCTGATTTTGCAAACACTTGAGCACGTGTAACTTTAAACATGAGTAGTGCCTTTGACCTAAATGAGACTATTTAGAGGCTTGATCCTGCATCATTTCCCTTGATGGAAGCTTTTTCATCGCCTTGAATAAGAACAGGATCAAGCCTCAAAAGAGTAAACTTATGTATCTGCTTAATTGTTTTCTATAGTCTTTAATATTTTGTTTTTGCCTACAGCACTTCTGTAAATTCAGGCAATACCCTATAATGACTTTTTAAAATTATAGTTTAGTTAGATTAAAAATGTATCATAAAAAGGTGCAATAGCACATTTTGTTTTCAAATCCTCAACCTGATTTAAATCAGTGACAGACAAAAAGTGATTTAAATTATTCCATCCTGATCTAGTGCTCTAGGCATTTTCTTCTGTGAGGGAAAAATACACTGATATGTCATAGCAAGACAAAAGTTCATGAACCAACCAGAGATAGATGTCATGGGATCAATTAGAAGCTTTGTTTTGTGGTGTTTTATTTTTAATTGATTAGATGTGCATTTTAACAAGTATTTTGAGCATTTTATATAATAATAATAATAATGTTTAAGCATGCTAAATCAATGGTTGTTAAGAGTTATTAGGGGGCTGCCAACTCCCATCTCCCATGCATCCTTTAGGGAGTGCTGGGGGGGCTCCTCCCTGGCCTAAGTTAAAAGGGAAAGCAAAACTTTGCCAATATTTTATCTCTATATATAAAACTCAGGATTTTGAGCAGGACTCTGTCACCTCAGCATATTATTCCTAATTTGGTATCTTTGTTATGGGTTTTACTGTCCTCCTATACTGTTTTTTAAGATTCTATTTCTGGCTTATACTTCATGAGCAAGGACTGTTTATATTAATATAAGCATTAGAAAGTGAGCAAAACTTTGCCAATATTTTATCTCTATATATAAAACTCAGGATTTTGAGCAGGACTCTGTCACCTCAGCATATTATTCCTAATTTGGTATCTTTGTTATGGGTTTTACTGTCCTCCTATACTGTTTTTTAAGATTCTATTTCTGGCTTATACTTCATGAGCAAGGACTGTTTATATTAATATAAGCATTAGAAAGTGTAGTTGGCATTTTATAAATAGGCCTGTGCCCTGCACTGCCGAGCTTACCATCTAAATCGGACAAGAAAATTATAAAAGACGACAGTTCAGGAAATACAGAGGAAGGAGAATGTGTTGGTGATGAAAAGGAAGGATGGATTCCTGGAATAACTGGGCTTTAAAGAGGATCTAGTGTACAGAAGTAGTGTGTCAAGCATAGGAGCAGTATGAGAGAAAATGTGAAGCAAGAGCGAAGGGAGAGTCTTGGAAGTTAGAGCCGAACAATAAGAGTGACAGGAGAGAGTGACGATTTTATCCAATGTCGCACTGTTAGATTAAGTTAAGGAAAGGTTGCAAAGGGGAAGGTCATAGTAATAAAGAGGAAAAGTAAAAGAGAACTCTGGTAATTAGAAAATAACAAATAGTCTGACATCTTAGAGACTAACAAAACATGTTGATAGTATCATGAGCTTTTGTGGGCACAACCACTTCTTCAGATGATTGGAGTTATTAAAGGTCCAGTTTCTAAATAAATGGGAAAGAGGGAGAGAAGGAAAAAAAAGGGGGGGAGGGGAGAAATAGTCAATTAGAGTCCATGCTACATGAAGTTGCTAGAGAAGGTACTAATTGTTCTTAAGTGCTCATTGTTTGGTTTTTTTATGTTCTTAGGATGTGGAATGTCCCAAACAACGTACCCAAAGTCTTAATTAGATTAGCTAAATCGATCTCTGGAAGTGGCAGTGGTGATTTTCCATTTAGTATATACATGGCCTCCGAGGCAAAAAAAATCCACAACCTCAGCAACACAATTATACCAACCTAACCCCTAGGCTAAGTCTACACTGGCCAGTCTTGCGCAAGAACATATGCAAATGAGGCATGACAATGAATATCGCCACGCCTCATTTCCATACTTAATGAGCTGTCACTTTTGCACAAGGGGCTTTTGTGCAAGAAGGAACAGTTTACACTGCTCCTTGTGCAAACCCCCTTTCTTGCACAAGAGCAATTCTGCCTGAAAATTTGTGCAAGAGCCGTTCTGCTGTTTGAGGAATTTTTGCTCAAGAAGTAGCAGTGTAGACCGCTCCTTCTTGTGCAAAAGCCCCTTGTGCAAAAGTGACAGCTCATTAAGTATGGAAATGAGGCGTGGCGATATTCATTGTCATGCCTCATTTGCATATGTTCTTGTGCAAGACTGGCCAGTGTAGACGTAGCCCTAGTGTACACAGCACTATTGTTAATGGGAAGGCTTCTGCTACTACTTCTCACAGAGGTGGATTAACTATGCTGAAAGTGGAAACTCTGCAATCGACATAGTATAGGCCTGGGCAAAATACCATCCGTGGGATGGATCCAGCCCACTAAGCTGTCAGATCTGGCCCATGGACGCAGTGGGGTGCCTCAGGCAGACTCCCTGCCTGTCCCCCACACGCTGCTGAGAAAAGCTGCTGCGGGGTTCTCTTTGAACAGCTGTGAGCCTGGGGGAGGGGAAAAAGGCTCCTGTCCCCCAAGCACAAACCCACTGGCCTGTTTCCAGCCAATGGGAGCTGTCTGTTATTAACAGGCAGCTTGCAAAGCACACACACACACCCTCAGGCTTATAGCTGTTCAAAAACCACATGGCCCCTGCAGCTAGTGCTGGATGAGGCAGGTAGGGAGTCTGCTTGAGAGGGCTGCAGGCTGGGAGTCAAGCAGGTAAATCTCCCAGCCAGAGCCTGCCTCTAGCACCTCAACCCTTTGCCCCCCCGACTGCACATAACCCAAACTTTTTGCACCTCTCCTGCCCCCAGATCCTCTCCCAGATCCTGCATCTCAGTCCCCTGCCCCAAATCACAACCCCCTCGTGCCCTAGGCCACAACCCAAACCCCTCTATCCCTTCCTGTACCCCAGTCCCCTGCCCCAAGTCACAACCCCCTCTTGCTCAAGGTCACAACCCAAACCTCTGCACCCTAGTCCCTTAACCCAGATCACAGCTGCCTTCTTCACTAAAACTCCCCCACAGACTTCACATCCTCTCCTGCACCCGAGGCCTTTACTGCAAGCTCCCTTCTGCACCCAACCTCAATTCCAGATCCCGCACCTCCTCCATTAATCTGGAAGAGTGCGGCCCTTGACCACTTTCCAAATTCTTGGAGTGGTCCTTCAGCAAAAATTGCCCAGCGCTGGCGCAGTATCGTCACTGATGTGCTATATCGGTGCAGCTACACTGCCGCATCTGCATCAGTGCAGTATTTTAAGTGTTGACCTGTCCATAGGTGAGCCGACCTAAGTCCCCATGTAGATATAGCTAAGTCAAAAGAACAATTCTTCTGTTGACATAGCTACCGTCTCTTAATAGAGTGGATTCACTCTAGAGATGGAAAAATCCATTCTGTTGCTTTAGTATGTGTCTGTACTACAGTGTTGGTGTAGCTTAGGTGCAGTGCCATCGCTGTGCTGCAGTAGGTCTTGTAATGGAGACATACCCTAAGTCTCTGATAGTTTCCTTGACTGCTATTAGGCATGAAAGTGTGCGGAAGGAAAGAGGTCTTTGTTCTTTTACTTCTCCCTTCGTCTCTGCTTTTTGGATTCTCCTCTCTGAGTGTCTCCACTGTCTGATTCACTAGTTGTTCGTAAGCTCTCCCCGGCAGTAACAGTAGCATGAAACTGAATTGACATGATTTGGTTTATCTTCAGCTCACTGGTGGAGGTATTTGTAACTGTAGATGCAGATAAGATTACCAGGGACAGAATCTGGAGGAACACTAAGCAAAGAGGGGAAAGGAGATGAATAAGACTGGCTGATGGAACAGTCACTTGTTGGAGCAGGCTCAATCAAACACAATGTAGAGGAAGTTAAGAAGGAAAGAGAAATATCATTTGAGTCAAAAACCAGGATAATGATTCAGAATAAGTAAAAATAAAAAACCATTAAGACCATGCTGCTATCTGCCTTATGATTTCTAGTCTTGGGGATTTGAATTTTCCTTGTCTCAACTCTCATTTTTCGTGCCATTCACTGTACTTCACTATTAAACATACGCATTTTTCAGAACAAATTGAAAACTCATTTACAATGTAACAGTTGGTTAATAATTTAAATATAATTACTGTTAGGTTAGAAACTGTTCTGAAAAAATGCCAGCCTGCATTTGCTTCTAAAATAATCCAAAATGTAGATATTGAAAAGGAGAGAGGTAGAAAAGTATTAATGGTGAAACAGACCTGGCATCAAAATAGACATTAGATTTTAATGTTCTATGACATAAAGTCCTCTTGGGTTGTATGTGCAGAGGTATCATGTTACAGAGCAGGGAGATTTGTGCTCTGGAATTAAGTTAATATTTTGTATCATCAATAATATGAGCATCAATAGGATGGGGCAGTAATTTGTTCTAATTCAATTTAATTTTTCCCCACATCATTGACACATGAATCACAACCAAAAGCATAATATTGAAAATCAAGTAGCAAAGACAGAATTTAATGAAAATCCATTCAGGGTAAATATGAAAATATTGACTGTTTACAACAAAGAGCCCCAACCCTGCCCTCCCCAGGCAAATGCTCTATCCCCATGGCCACTGCAGAACCCACCCCACCTACCTGTCTCCCGGGTGTCCCTTATCCTGTCTTACGAGTGCTTAGCACCAGCTCCTGCTCTGTGACAGCTTGTGTTGGCTGTTCGGCTGCTCCCAAGGTGTCTAAATCTAAAATTTAGATTTTAAAATTTAAATACATTTTGTTTTTAGAATATAAACCAATTGGTAAAATTGGCGAGGGAACGTTTTCTGATGTTTTGAAGACACAGAGTCTTAGGGATGGAAATTACTATGCATGCAAACAAATGAAACAGCATTTTGAAAGGTAAGTATAGTTGCTCATACTATTGCCCCAAACTGGAAAAACTTTGTTTACATTTCATGGGGAAATAAATATAAATTTAAGACTGAATATAGGTTTCATGCATATTAGAAAATGTGTTTGCATTTAGAAAAGAGGAACAGGAGGCCTGATAATAGCAAATTATTACTTGGCATTGTGCTTACTACCAAGTAGACCCACTGATGTCACTCTCTGCAGTAAATTCTATATCTACTTGTCAACTGGATTAAGATCAGGATTAGGGAGGGAGAAGCACTGGGGGTTTTGTTCGTTCCTATCTACTTTAATGAATATTTCTTTCTGTCACTACTCTGGTCTGGTTGGATTTTACATTGTAAATTAATTCGTACCAGAAAGGAAAAGGAAAATATGTATGAACTCAGTTGTGTCCTTTTCCTTACTTCCATAAATCAATTAATAGAGGAAGATGGTGTAAGGAACACCCTCTTTAACCATTGTCAGTTTCACTTTAAAATGTATTTTATTGTGGATTCTGTAACAGTAGATCATCTTCTCTTCCTATTTTGTTCCTCTTCATAGTTTGAATTTGCCCTTATTCGCATTTGATTGTGTCCTCTAATTGTGGGCAACACAAGTCACAGTGGGAGCTCTTTCTTATTAGGAAAATGGCAAAATTGGGTTCACTGCATGCCCCACACACAGCATTCTCAACCAAACCAAGGCACGTAACCTCTAACCTTAGCATAGGGTCACGGTCATCCATCAGACACATTCATTTCCTATTGATCTCAGTGTAAGTTGCTTTATAGCAGTTGATGCTGCCTCTACTGCTTTGAAAAAAATTCAGGTTTGATTCAGTACTTTGCTGCTGCACAGATTAAGAAGTAAAAAAAAAATTGCAGAGATTAAGGAAGAGTGAATTTAAAAACACAAATCCATCCTTTTCCTTTAAATGGAAAAAAAAATTAGCCAAAGTCAGTGAATATAAACTTTCTATTGTACCCACTTTGTGCTGATCATTAGTCTAATAGAGCATAAACTCAGTGGACCTGGTCAGCTGAAGAAACAAGGTGTATGTAAAAGTGGTCCCTTCCTTAGTTACTCTGGGCAGCTCTACACTACTGGGCAGCTCTACACTACGGGCCAGATCGACGGGACAGCGATCGATCCAGTGGGGGTTGATTTATCACGTCTAGCAACTGCCAATCACTGTCCCGTTGACTCCGGTACTCCACCTCAACAAGAAGCTCAAGGGGAGTCGATGGGAGAGCATCTCCTATCAACACACTGCTGCAAGGACACTTTGGTAAGTAGATCTAAGTATGTCGACTCCAGCTACGCTATTCACATAGCTGAAGTTACATAACTTAGATCAATCTCCTCTCGTCCCCCATAGTGTAGACAAGCCCTCTAAATGCAAGCTTGGTTACAGCCAAGTATTTTGTCCAGAATGTTAAGAATAAGCAGACAAATTTCTTGGCTAATCAATTTTAGAAATACTAAAAACTGAGAATTTGTTTAATTGCCTCCATGTATGAGAGGCTTATTTGGCAAAGATGCCAGTTTGCTGGTGCTGTGGTTTATTATTATTATTATTTATTATTTATTAATAACACAAAACAGGCTTCCATTATGTGTCTGAAATTATGATCAATTTATATTTATCAAGATTAAATCTTATTAGATGGTGAGTTAGCTGGCCCTGTCACGTAAACCACTGTTGGTGAGTCAGTCAATTTTACACAGTGTACTCCAAGTAAAATTACTATTATTTACAAACAGTTGAAACTGACAGTGTATTTTGTGAAACAGATTCCAGCAATAGATTTTTATTAAGGAAATTCATATGGATTCATTCAGATCTAGTTCTAGTCTTTTGACAACTTCTCCATATTTTGTTTATACTGTAGGATATTTCACGTAATTATGTTAGAGATGAGAAGCAGCAACTTTTGAGTATATATTTTCCTTTTTTATGTATACAGTACTGATATTGTTTTCATTCAAACATGGAAATTGTACTATTTTGGTTCTGGAAATAGCTCTCATTGTATAAATCAATTTACTATGGTCATGTTTTGAATTAAAATTAGGAACATTTTATTCCAAATTTTATTTAGGACTATTCAGAAATGCTAACATTAAGCACTGAAACCAAAAAGTTATCCAGTCAATCCTGTTAGTTTTCAGGGATCCATTTTACTTCTGGCTCTTCTCTTATTAAAAAAGGAAACAGACAGTCTAGAGTTGAGACCAAATTAACAAAAATAAATCCTAGTTATAAGATTAAGCAATTTTGAGTATGTTCAACTCATTGCATTTAGTTGTCCATCATTCCCACATTTATGAGGATTGTGAGAACATCTTCCCTATGATGTGTTAAAGTGTCCTTTATGTCTTAGACTCTCTTTGATAGTTGTGAATTGGGTAGAAGTTACTCTTTTACTGGAATGATTGCTTACAGATATAGGTAATAGTGATACAAATTGATCTTGCTAGTACAAGATAGTTTTCTTAATTTCACATTGAAATATAAAGCTTTTCACATTTTGCTGACTCTTGATGTGAAAGAAAAAGCTTTTCCTCTAATGATTTGCTATATTTAGTGTCCATACAAGGCCACTGAAGCCCTGTAAAATGAATTTTTCCCCTACGGTTTCTGTAGGTTGGCCTTCTCATGGCTAATTGAGTCCAAGCATTAGTGACATGATTAAATACTATGTTTCAACTAGCTAGCGAAATAGTGGGTTTCAGGTTTCAGTTCTTCACACTAATGGTTATTACTTTAAAATTAAATTTTTACACTAATGATTACACAAGGCTAAATTTTGACTTTAGGCATAGTCTTTAGCTGTGAGCTGCACCAACCCAGAAGTAGCAGTGGGAATTATTGTGACTTGGACATACGTCTGAGTCATAATTCCCCTCCAATTTCTTTCCTTCTGCAGAGTAATAATTTATTTCTGGTCTATACCAACAGTAAATTACTACCCTCTTCTCCTGGGTCAGCTAATCTTGTCAACAAGAAGGGGAAGGGGAGCCAGGACATTTCCTACCCCATCCTCTTTCCCCGGTCTGAACTCCAGATTTGGGTAGCCTAAATAGGGACATGAGAGGAGGAGAAGTTCTTGCGTTTTTGTGTGGGGAATTATTTACAACCTGTTTTCTAAATTGTAAAGTAGTTTTCCACTCTCACTTCTTTTTTTTTTAAATTACACATTTAGTATCGAGCAAGTGAATAATCTGCGAGAAATACAAGCACTGAGGCGACTGAATCCACATCCTAATATACTTATGTTACACGAGGTGGTTTTGTAAGTACAGAATATTTACTTCCCCTAATTCCTATATTCTCTATTTGAATATTTTTCAGTAGCTTTTGGAGACCAGAGACAGTTTGGAGACATTTAATCAATTATTTATTATGCCAAAAAGGAAATCTTTGGAAGATCTGTCTGATTCCCCCAGGCCCTCATGTCTCTTGTTAAGCAAAAATATGATACAGTTCTAAATTGCACTTTTCAGTTGCTTTAGAATATACTGCTGGAAAAACATCAGAATTATAATATCCATCCTAACAAAATGGAAAAACAGGTGAACTTGTACAAGAGAGATTTTAAGCAATCAACCAGTGGGACCCTTAGACGATGGAGATGCCAAAGGAGCACTCAAAGATGATAGTCATTCCGGAGAAGCTAAATTAATTCTTTTCTTTAGTTTTCACAACTGAGGATGTTAGGGAGATCCCAAACCCGAGCCATTCTTTTTAGGTGACAAATCTGAGGAATCGTTCCAAATTGAGGTGACAAATCTGAGGAATCGTTCCAAATTGAGGTGACAAATCTGAGGAATCGTTCCAAATTGAGGTGACAAATCTGAGGAATCGTTCCAAATTGAGGTGACAAATCTGAGGAATCGTTCCAAATTGAGGTGACAAATCTGAGGAATCGTTCCAAATTGAGGTGACAAATCTGAGGAATCGTTCCAAATTGAGGTGACAAATCTGAGGAATCGTTCCAAATTGAGGTGACAAATCTGAGGAATCGTTCCAAATTGAGGTGACAAATCTGAGGAATCGTTCCAAATTGAGGTGACAAATCTGAGGAATCGTTCCAAATTGAGGTGACAAATCTGAGGAATCGTTCCAAATTGAGGTGACAAATCTGAGGAATCGTTCCAAATTGAGGTGACAAATCTGAGGAATCGTTCCAAATTGAGGTGACAAATCTGAGGAATCGTTCCAAATTGAGGTGTCATTAGAGGAGGTTTTAGAACAAAGTGATAAACTTAATAGTAACAAATCACTGGGACCAGATGGCATTTACCCAAGAGTTCTGAAAGAACTCAGATGTGAAATTGCGGAACTATTAACTGTGGTTTGTAACCTATCCTTTAAATCAGCTTATGTACTTAATGACTGGAAGATAGCTAATGTGACACCAATATTTTAAAAGGGCTCTAGAGGTGATCCTGGTAATTACAGACTGGTAAGTCTAACAACAGTACTGGGCAAATTAGTTGAAACTATAATAAAGAATGAAATTGTCAGACACATAGCTGAACATAATTTGCTGGGGGGAAAGTCAACATGGTTTCTGTAAAGGGAAATCATGTCTTAGTAATCTACTACAGTTCTTTGAGGGGGTCAACAAACATGTGGACAAGGAAGAGCCAGTGGATATAGTATGCTTAGATTTCCAAAATGCCTTTGACAAGGACCCTCATCAAAGGCTCTTAAGTAAAGTTAGTTGTCATGGGACAAGCAGAAAGGTCCTTTCATAGTTTGATAACTGGTTAAAAGACAGGAAACAAAGGGTAAGAATAAATGGCAAGTTTTCAGAATGGAGAGGGGTGTCCCCCAGGGGTTTGTCCTGAGACCAGTCCTATTCAACGTATTTATAAATGATCTGGAGAAAGGGGAAAACAGTGAGGTGGCAAAATTTGCAGATGATACCAAACTGCTCAAGATCAAAGCAGACTGTGAAGAGCTTCAAAAAGATCTCACCAAACTAAGTGATTGGGCAACAACATGGCTAATGAAACTTAATGTTGATAAATGTAACGTAATGCACATTGGAAAAAATAATCCCAATGATACATACAATATGATGGGGACTAATTTCGCTACAACTACTAAAGAGAGAGATTTTGGAGTAATCGTGGATAGCTCTTTGAAAACATCCACTCAATGTGCAGTGCAGTCAAAAAAGCAAACAGAATGTTAGGAATCATTAAAAAAGGGATAGAGAATAAGACAGAGAATATCTTATTGCCTCTGTGTAAAACCATAGTACGTCCTCATCTTAAATACTACGTACAGATGTGATCACCTCATTGCAAAAAAATATATTGGCATTGGAAAAGGTTCAGAAAAGGGCAACAAAAATGATTAGGGGCTTGGAATAGGTCCCATATGAAGAGAGATTAAAAAGACTTGGACTCTTCATCTTAGAAAAGAGGAGATTAAGGGTGAATTTGATAGAGGTCTATAAAATCATGACTGGTGTGGAAAAAGTGAACAAGTTATTTACTTGTTCTCATAAGAACTAGGGGTCACCAAATGAAATTAACAGGCAGCAGGTTTAAAACAAACAAAAGGAAGTATTCTTCATGTAGCGCACAGTCAATCTGTAGAACTTCTTGCCAGAGGACATTGTGAAGACCAAGACTGTAACAGAGTTCAAAAAAGAGCTATATCAATTTAGGTAGGAACGGTGTCCCTAGCCTCTGTTTGTCAGAAGCTGGAAATGGATGACAGGAAAAAGATCACGTGATGATTACCTGTTGTGTTCACTCCCTCTGGGGCATCTGGCATTGACTATTGCCAGGAGACAAGATACTGGGCTAGATAGACCTTTAGTCAGACTCTATATGGGCATTCTTAATCAATAAACATATTTATATTCTGATTTTATGGGAGGGAGACTTCATGTCTACTGCCCTCCATGGGTCCATGTACTCTGTTGCACAGATGGATCACATTCTGTCGTGAAGCTGACTTATTGTATTGCCATAAAATTACTTTAATCCTCCTCACTCCTATGCAGCTTCCCAGAACTATGGTTCATTGCTGAAAATCATCAAACATAACATTTGTTGATTATTATTTTCAAGGATTTTTTTTGCTGTGCTCTTCATGCTGTCTTTTTTCACTCCCTGCGCCTCAGTGTTATCTAGACAATCTGACTTAGAACCTAATTCCCACAAGTGCCAGAAGAGGGACACTTGTGGTCACTTTAGTAGCTCATCTCCCAAATAGTCTAGATCTAGCTGCAGCCCAGATTGTCAGCCAGCACATCTGCAAGATGAACTCCATATCTGGTTCCCCAATTCCTTTTTGCCTGGCTTAACTGAACAGTGCAGGGAGCATGCTCTGTAATCAAATCAGTGCTTTGTTATGAATGTTGAAGAGCAAGAGTCTTCCATAGATAGGTTCCACCAGGGCAAGAGGACATAAAATGTTAGCTGCCAGCTACAGGAACATCATGAATTCTAGATATCTTGCCAAAATATAAAGTTATTCCATATCAGAATTGTGATGGCCACAGGGGCCACTGTTTGAGATTAATGAGGCAGATCACACTTCTCAGGGAGATGTTCTAGCTCCCTGCAGAGTCAAACAGGAAACGCTGCATCAGTGTACTCTTTGCTCATAGTCAAAAGTTTCTCTGCAACCACAAGGGTTAAGCAATTTAAAAAAAATGAAATCTCAGATTCTGGAGTGTCTTGTTTTAATGTTACAATTGTGGAATAGGCTGGATCCTGCTTTTACTCATTTCACAGCTCCCATTACATAGTAGCAGGCTAAAAAAAAAAGCATTGTTGGTCCACAACAACTATTGAAAACATCATTCTCAACATATATTCATAGACTTAAGGGTCAGAAGGGACTTGGACCATCATGATTCATCTAGTCCAGAGGTCTCCAAACTGTGGAGTTGAAGCGGGTACTGAGGAATGTCCAGAGAGTGCAATTGGAGCCAGCACCTGGTTCAGTCCTCACTTGGAAGTAGCCTGGGACCTGGCTGCTGGCTCTGCACCTAGTGTCCTGCTGGACCCGCATCCAGGGCTCTGCTCCTGGTCCCAGCCCTGCCCCCAGCTGTGGCCCCAACCTGTTTGTGTCATTTCTCTACCACCACCATCATGTCATGATACTGCTCCCAGCTCTGGAAGTGAGAGCAGCACAGACTTATGTAAAAGGGAGCAAGAGGTAAAAAAGGGGGGGGGGAGATTACTTATCTTGTCAGTCCTCCTGCATATTGCAGGCCATATAATCTCACCCACCCACTCTTATAATAGATTCACTAACTGACTGAGTTACTCAGATTATGGTTTAAAGACTTCTGGTTATAGAGAATCTACAATCACAGAAAACTGTCAAAATGTGGATTTTTTTTTAAAGTAACATACTCATTTAAAAATGAGTTGTTTTGCCCTCACAGAACAATATCAGGCCCAGCTCAACTATTAAATATTTTCAGATGCAGCACAATGCTTTTGTACCTCTTAGCAATTTTTATTTTATACGTTATGACTATGTTATGTCTTGCTATTGCCATTTAATTGGGACTTCCAGATTGCGATTGCACCATTGTGCCATACTTAGCAGTAAAATACATACAGTACTTGTAAGGCTAATAAGGCTTCCAGCCAGGAGTGCCAGATGCAAAGAGTTTGAAAAAATGTAATTGTAGATTAAAATTATAAATCAATTTGAATAGACTTCTGTAGGTAAATATCAATTGAAACTGAAAACTTCAAGTAGTTTTACTGATGATTACAACTGGCTCTTCTGCTGAATAGAATACTTTTTGTCTACTTTGTGTACAAATGCAAATATACATTTATTTCTTGCTCAGAAAAAAATATTTGTTTCTTTAGTGACAGAAAATCTGGCTCTCTTGCACTAATATGTGAACTTATGGACATGAATATTTATGAGCTAATAAAAGGTATGTAGAGCATGTTTAAGTCATTCAAAATCCTCTTTCACAGATCATAAAGTTGCATTCATTAATCATACTTTTCAGTTGGCTGTTCATGTAATGGTTATATAGTATGAAATTTAAGTGTATATTTTACATTTTGGGGGAAATTACTCTTTTATGGCTGTTTTCTATGCTATATAGATATTTTTAATTTAAAAACTTGTGTGCATGTCTATTTTTAAATGAGTCAGAGCAGTGATTCTATAGAGCACTATCAATATAAATGATCAGACCTGAAAAGGAAAAAAGAAAACTTATGGCAAGTTTGGATTTAATACAAACATTACCAGTTTAGTGGTAAGAAATTGTGCTCATTGTGTTTGAAAGTAACAAATCTTTCAGTTGAAACATAATAAAGTTTGAAAATCAAGAAGGGCTGATAATAGAGTTAACAGAAGTCTCTATAGCAGGGGTCGGCAATCTTTCCCAAGTGGCATGCCAAGATTTATCCTCCTGCCCTGGGGCCGTGCTGCTCTCCTGGGAGGTGGGAGGAACTCTCCCCACCATGCACCCTGCTTGGTCTCCTGCCCTGGGCTCTGCTCTGGCTTTTCCTGGGAAGAGGGGAGGAGCAATGCGTGCATGCTTCCCTGGAAACCAGATGTGGCGCGGAGCCTCTGGGATTCCCTTCCTCCCTCTCCCCCGCCCTCCGAAAGCTGGTGCTGGTTCCAATCTTGCGGGGGACGTGATGCTGGATTGCCAACACGCATGCACCCTGCTTGGTCTCCTGCCCTGGGCTCTGCTCTGGCTTTTCCTGGGAAGAGGGGAGGAGCAATGCGTGCATGCTTCCCTGGAAACCAGATGTGGCGCGGAGCCTCTGGGATTCCCTTCCTCCCTCTCCCCCGCCCTCCGAAAGCTGGTGCTGGTTCCAATCTTGCGGGGGACGTGATGCTGGATTGCCAACACGGGC